TTGGCCTTTCTCCAGTCCTCGGACACCTCTCCTGTCCTCCAGGAGCTCTCAAAGGTGATGGAGAGTGGCTCAGCAATGACATCCGCCAGCTCTCTCAGCACTCGTGGGTGCTGTGAAAACACCTTTGCTGTGAAGAAAGGCTGAGAAACTTGGGGTTGTTCGGCCCAGAGAACAGAAGGCTCCAGGGAGATGTTAGTGGTCTTTCAATACTGAAAAGGAGCTAATAAGAAAGATGGAGAAAAACTTTTTACCAGGGCCCATAGTGACGGGACAAGGGGAGATCTTTTTAAACTGCAGGAGATTAGATTTAGATTGGATATAATGGTGAAGTTCTTTACTATGAGGTTGGTGTGACACTGCAACAGGTTGCCCAGATAAGTTGTGGATGCCTCATCCCTGGAATGTTTAAGCTTGGGTTGAGTGGGGCTTTGAGCATCATTTCAAGCATTTCATCAGTGAAAGATGTCCCTCCCATGGCAGGGAGGTTGGACTAGATGATCTGTAAAGGTCCCTTCCAACCCAAACCATTTGGTGATTCTGTCATCTAAAGTATGTGGACGGAGGAACATTATCTGCCAAGTCACCTGTTTAGCTAGTAGAGCAGGTTCTCAGACAAAAACTTCTTCCGTGCCTGGTTCTGCTCCAGACATACTCCTCAATCCTAATTATTAGCAGTTCGGGAGGGCCCCTGCCATAACTGTTTTCAAATTTTACTGACCCCTGTTAGTGTTGAGACATCTTCTCTCAGCATTTTTGCCCAATAAGCCACTAAAATTTTTGGGAATAGTCTTATTAAAGGGTTTTGCAGGGAACAAAAAAAAACAAGGTAGTAATTTTGAATTGCAGAACAGAGTCAGTCATCCTTTCAGTATTTAATAAGTACGTACAATTTTGGTAGAATTCCTGGTAATTGAAATTCAGTTTCCTCTTTGGACAAAGTCCCTGTCCATGACTACAAAAGATCGTCTTTCACACTGTTTCTGAAACACTTCTCGTGAGAGCTTACTGATCAGAAATCATTTCCCCTTTAGTAAAGGTAGGGGATACGGAAGAAGTACCAAGCAAAGCGTATTAAAATATTTCCTGAACTGATAGACTTTTCTGGCTTACATTGGGTTTACTGGCTCAGTAAAGTGTGTGAAGTTCAGCATCCAGTTCTGGCTTAGCTTTATCTTATTGTGTGTTCCTGAGGCTACAGAAAATAGTTCTTAGTCTCTTAATCTTAGAAGTATTTTTTATCTTCTAGGAAAGAATAAACTCAAATGTTTCATTATAAATTGGAACGAATCACTAAATGAATGGATCCAATATTATTTTCTAACTGCACAGGTGCTTGTTTCAGCCCTGTTTTTGGCTTTGTTGGAGATTGTTTTGCTTACTGACTACATCTGCTGGGTCAGACTGTTACCTGCTATGTGGACATCTACTGCAACACTTTGTTCTCAGCTGTGACCAACAGCAAATACTCAAGGAAAGAGTTTAAGTATGAAGCATTTATCAAATTACCTTCTGATATATTTCTCCACCTTCCAGTAAGCCTCGGTTTCGGAATTTTGGCTTCAAGCCTGTATCCGGATCATTGTGTGAAAGCTACAGTGTGACACTATGATACCATGAGTAGGTATCTATGGTACTGTCTTCTGTAAGTTTGTCTGATCCCCTTTGAATGTATTATACTAGCAGTTGCTGATCAATTTTCAGGACCTGGCTTCTCCTCACAGAATTCACTTCTATCTTTCCTACAGTTTCCTATGAAATGCTTTTTGCTTAGTACGCATAGTGAATTATCCTCATGAAATAAGCAATGTTTCCATCTAAAATATGTCCCAAATCATGTCATCACCCATGGGAAAAATCTTTCTGTATTTTGGAAATTTATCAAAGTAGCTGCAGTAACACCTGGCTTCATAACTTCAAAATAGTAATACTGAATTTGAAATGATTTTTTGTACACGAACCGAGATCCAGGTACTGCAGGAAGTACAGTGAGCAAGTGGTAAAGTGGATTTTTTTCTTTTTTGTTTAAGCTAACACTGGACTGTCTCTGAACTGTCCCTGGTGCACACAAATGGTGATGGGTTCTTTATGAACTCCAGTCCTGAAAAAATCACATGGAGATGTGTGAAGTAGGCAAGACCCCACTTGACTACAGTCACTATGAAAGACATATTAGGCTTGACAACTGATAGAGGCTGATAGGTTAAATTATCAACATTGTAACAATATTAAATGAGATCAAATACCTAGACTTTATTTAAAACCATACATGAAATTGCTGTGTTAAGTGGTTGCCAGCCTTCACCCTACAAGCACAAAGACTGAAGTGTGTGTGTGCTGTCATATTCTGTGGGTCCTCTGTGATGGAATATCAGACTACACTGAAATCATCATAGAAGGAAGTTCTATATTGTAGACAACTATGCCATAGTCCATGTTGTGCCCTTGCTTTCTTTCAGCTTTTGAAATCAAGAGCCCTTCCCAGAACTAGGAAAACTGTCAAGAAGCAAAAGAAAATGAAACGCCATTAGAAATACTTTTACTTACAGATTAACATTGTTAAGTACTTATGCTCAGTACGTTTGAGGTTTCGCTTAGTGCTTTATTTGTCTACTGTTATGAATGGTTCTACAGTTTACTTAAAGGCGTCCCTGCAGTACTACGCAGCCGTAGAGTTGACCTTATTATTGCTGATTGCCATTCAGTTTAGAGTAGCAACATGAGAAATGTTGCTTGGACAGTCAGTCCTAAGACTTGCATCCTCTCCTCACTAGAGGTTCCAAAGAGAATTGAAACAGAAAAGAAAAAAAAATAGTTAAATTGGAAGTAGAGTAGGTGGTCTTCATGTTGTAAGATGCTATAGACAAGGATTCCTAAGTGTTGCAGGGGTAGAGATTTTGTTTCTATTAGACTTAAGTCGCTGTGTTTAATGTATGCCTTTTAAAGTGAATAGGAAGCAAACCAACTGCTTGTACAAAAAAAAAAAATCCTTTTACTCACTGTAATGGGAATCTCAGTTCCTTAGTAACAGCGGGAGGACAAAATTCCTTAGACAGAATTTTTGAGAAATATGTTCCTCCTCATGAAGTCAGAGCCTGCATTGCTTCTCAGCTGTCTGGCTTGGGCATTTCAAAGGATAATAACAGACAAGGTAATGCATGAAAAGTTCATTGTGTGATGTCCTGTGTCCACAGAAACAACTTTCTTGTAGATAAGGATGCCTAAAAAACTTGTGATATCTTGCATGAGCAAATAATGTAAAAATATTTTCAAACTGCTGTCAGAGTATTTTCATATAACTGGTTAGTCCAGCTGATAAGCTTTATATGTCTGAACAGCATAGTAAAAATCTGTGAAGAAAAGTAGTTGGTTGACTTTAGTTCATGCAAAGGACCACGCCTGGGCATCTACTTCTGATTTTTAAATCAGTCTGTTGATTTAAATCTTGCCAGCTTGTACTCTTGGCCTTTGAAAACTTCCTGCGTCATCTCACCCCATGTGACATTTTTGCACATTTTGAGTTGCTAGTTCATGTTTTCAGTACTGATTTATGGGGCACAATTTGCAGCTGAAACTTCAGAGAGTTAAGGACATTTTACTGGAACAGGAAAAATTAAGATTAAATTCAGGTTCTAATAAAGTATCTGAGTTCATTTATCACACAGGCCCTAAGTATCTTCAGAACTGGGATGAGGTGGAATGGCTTACTTTTTGTATCTACCAACCCTTAAGCTTTGGTTGTATTAATCGTACTCAATTCCTATCAGTGATTTACATGTGTTTTCATTATGTTTGATAGTAGACATTGTATGTATCAATCTGTGTTTTTTTTCAGCCTTAAAGCACAGAATTCAGGAATGTGCTTGAACCAGTACCCTGACACTCTATAAGTTATTTGAAATAGTCATTGTGTTGCTCTTTGACCTCCATGCTTTAGGAACGACATTGAGTGAATTTTCATTTATAGAATTTTTGTTGGTCTGTTTCAGATTTTGCAAGAACGAGGTTCCAGAATGTGAAGACAGTATTGAACGGTGGCAATTTTTTCTCTTTTATTTCAAGACACAGTGAATTGTCACACTGAAGAGGCTCAGCTGCAAAAGAAAAAAAATCCGATTTAGACAATTTTCTGTTGATCTGGGTTCAGCCGTTTTTGCCTGTAAGCTGGTGTCCACTGGCTGAAAGCATTGCAAGATTACATAATGGGAATAGATGGTGTGGGAGTGTGTGTTAAGTTTTGGTTGTAGTGCATGTTTGTACTCTCTTGTGGGCTGACTGACGCTGGTCATTTGAAAAGAAATGACCATGCACTCATATTTTCCTCTGAGACATGTAGCACTTACTGTCTGGTGCTAGATGACCCAATGTTGATCAGTTTGGAGACATTTTCCTACTAATCATTGTAAACATTTAAAGGACAATGTAATTGGTGCTACACACACACACACACACATCATAGCCCACAAATGCAAGTATTTGGGCTTGCATTGTTTCAGAGTCAGTGGCAGCCCCAGTCAACTATATTATACTGCACATTCCTTACGGCTCTGTGACATACTCTGTTATACAATAACAGCTTAGGAGATCAACTGAAACTAACATGTAAAAAGTTACACAACAGACAAAAGGTTTCTCTGAAGGAAAGGTGTATATATTGACTGGATTTATAGCATATTTTAATATCCAAAGGGAAGACTAAACTCAGAGGAAATGGCCTTCATCTGAATTGTTCTTGATGTTCCTTGTGTTAAAAGTCTCCTGCAAAAGTTATGCTCCAGTCTTAGCCAAATATTTGAAAGGGGAATCAAAATTCACTTAACATGAACAACAGAACATTCTATTTCTTTTGAAATGTTTGTGCTTATATGTGTGTTTGTGCTTTTATAAAATGCCTATAAGCATTGAACTCTTTGGATTATGGTAGAGATTTTTCCAGAGCTGGAGGTTGTACAGAAATGTGGCTGACTAGTCCTAGATCCCTGTCTCTGTGACTGGGATTAAAATGAACCTTCAGTGTGAACACAAGCTCATCCAATTGAAAAACTTAATTACTTCAGACATTCAGGATACCTGTAATCAGTCTTTCTCTTTCTATACTGTTTGCACTATGCAGTTAAAGAACACTGTTTGAAAACATCTGGTGCAGCTTTATTAGTTTGTCCTTGATGAAGGCTAATACACAAGACTGGAGCTTCTTAATACACTATGTTTTGAGCAAAATCTGCAGCACATCTTTAAAACACTTAATGAGATTGACAGTATAAAACTTGCCTTCATTGACTTATGAAAGTAGTGGAAGGGAGTTTCAAAAATCTACAAGATTGTTTTGAATTCTAAAGACATTACAGTTTTCATTCTCGGTAACTTCAGAATTTATGCATATACTCTAGGTAATCCTTTACACAAAAGCATGATTTTCAAACACCCAGGGTCTACTCTTTTTTTTTTCTTTTTTTTTTTCTTTTTTTAAAGGACTTGTTATACATTGATAAAAGTTTGCCGGAAACAATTTGTAAAAACCATTTCTACTAAGCAGGTTAAACAGTGGGCTAAATGTTTTGTTCATGTGTCTATTGCTTGAAGGGGTTCGTAATGCATTTTGCAACTTGGATGTGGTCTGCACAGGAAGCTGCTGGCCCCTCCACAACACCACATAAAACGTTTGTCTTTTTTTAAGATGTTAAAACTGAATTGAATTTACTAAAAATGCAATTGTGTAGGGGGAGATGTTTATACTTTTATACTTTTTTAGGCACCCGTATTTTATCAGCTTAAATTTAGCACCCAAATTTCCCCTAAATAGTAACAGATTATCTTGTGTATCTGAGAATAACAATTGTCTGTGTTAACTGCATATTAAAAGATTTCCTCTGCTGCAGTAGTCACTGTGTTTTTAAACAGTATGACTCCACCGAATTCTCTGAGCTCCCGAGCTCATGGAATTGCAGCCAACCGTGTTTCTTGTTGTTTTTTTGATGTACTCTACAGAGTAATTTGGCCTTGGCTTAAGTGAATTTTAATGCCTAAGATACTTGTTTCACAGTGATCCTTCTGAAACAGCTTTTCTGTTGTCTGTCATATTTAACCCCAAAAAGACAGAATATTTCGGAAAACTAAATTTTCAAGAATGACAGCAGCAAAGCACGAGTAACAAACTGAGCAAACTGAACAAATTTAGAATATGTAAGAGTGGGGTTTTTTAAAGTATGTTTTATTCACTGGAGTCTTTTCAGCTTAAAAACAAGGAGATTCCCGGCAATCTAGTTTATGTGGTATCCCTGTTGTAGCAAAGTTAATCATTTTGCACTTTGTTTCCAATACCTCACAAAGATTTTAAGAAAGAAAGAAAGAAAAAAAAGATAACTTTATTAGGCAGGTACCTTGTGAATTATTTTAAATACGCTGTTGTTTGAGACCACCTGAACTAACTACTTTCCTGTTCTTGCTGATGTTGTTATTGCTTTAATTTTTGTGAACATGTGAGTCTTTCAGATAGATGGAAGTGCTACTGTATGCCTTTTTCAAGGCATTAAGAATTGATCCTAAATAAGTTTAATGTCTTTTTATTTGACTCTTGTAATTTCAAATAAAGTTAGCTACAGTAACAGGGTAATTGCATTAGAGTCAAATCTGCATCACCAGGTTTGGCAAACAATGAAGTAATGTACCAATATAGTTTAAACTGGAGTCCTTTTTCTGTTTCTTTTCTGTCGTTTGGAGAGTATTTGCCTTAAGAGAACTGCCTATGACTATGTAAAGCTGATGGGTTCACTTGGGGGCTGAAGTTGAAAAGCTATACTGCAGAAGCCTTTGACGTGAACTCTGGATTTACACAGCTTCTCTATCCTTAAATCAAAACAGTATTCCAGGTTAGAATTTAAGATCCTGAGCACAAAGAGATCATGGCAGAGGAAATAAAGCAGGAAGGGAGAGATACCAAAACATAACAGTTAATCAAGGTGATCTCTCATGAAAATGTACATTCTATGAAAGATTTAACTTTCTGCCCTTTTGCTATATGAATATTTAGTGAAGTTGTTTGGCATGTTGTCCATGGAACAGGAGGTTACTTCAACAGAAGATTAGTGGATTTTCAGTGAAATTCTTTAAAGGCTTTTACATGACAAACTTCTTGCAAAACTTGTTTAAAAGCTGAGAAGTTCAAATTTACCATAGCAATTTCTTGCTTTGAGTTAGGAAGCAGATAGCATACTGTTGCCCTTAAGTTTTGTCAGACGCTAGTTTTCTGTATTGGAGATGAAGTTTTTGTGTTAAATGCTTTTGACTTCTACAAACAGCAGTTAAACCAGTTTATCTGCAATAAACAAGTCATTCTGAGGTCTCTAAGATTTGAATGTCACCTGGTCCATAATAACTGTCCAAAAGTATAGTCTGACTCAGCAGCTCCCACCGTAAATGCGAAACAAAAAGACAAAAGGTTACCTAGAATTTTCTCCCACTTACTGTATGGTTTCCATGGGTTATGGCTAATTGCAGTTTGTTATCCCACAGTAATTTAATTGTGTGCCAAAGGTCAGATTGTATTTAGAGGCTTATATTGATTCTCTACTGAATAGAAAATTTGCAAAATGTACTGTTTTTTTCAAACTCAGCTAGGTTTCTTGTAATGATAAAAGTTGCTTTCATCTTTCATTGTAGCATTAGTAATAGGTATTTCTTAAGAAATTGAGCTCAGTGTATCCATCCAACTTTTTTTGTCTTCAGATTTGCTTTAGACAGTAGCTGTGTAGCTCCATTTCTAGCAATGTGAATGCACAGTTATGAGTGATTAGAAACGGGACTATTTCCTGAGGATACCAACATTGAATCAATCTCCTCTTTGTCTGAGAGAGGTTTCTTTTCGAGGAGAAAATGAAAACTTCTAGCAGATTAAATAAAACTTGAGTGCAGGCATGCTTAGGGAACAGATCTGTTGAGTAGGATGATGGTGTCTTCAGAAAAACTGCTTCTCAGAGTAGAAGACTGTATTCTGTGTACATCTGTTGAGGTTGTTGCAAGTTGTCGGTCTTTTTTTGACTAGTACAGAGCTACCACCAGCAAACTAATATACATTAACTACAAGTTACTATTTTTATTAGTATTACAGAAATGAACTTGGAATGCAAAAATGAAGTAGTCTCTGATTGAAGGAAATTAATTGGAAACTGGATTATGATGTGTATTGTCCAGTAATTCAGGTATACTGGAATATGTTCCTTGAGAAGTACTGAGAGAAAAGTGAAGTACTGGGCTTTTCATGGAATCAAAGTCGAATGAAAGAGAGTCTGGAGATGAAGCCTCAGATTTTGTTCACTTGAGATGTGATAAAATCAGAAAGTGTCATTCTCTTATTTTCTCTCAACACATCAAAAGCGTGTTTCAGGTTTTTCAAATTGACTTCTTCAATCAGCCCTGAAAGGTGGGTCCCTTGAAAAGAGATGAGATTTTGTTCCGCCTTTAACAGTACCTGTTAGCTCAGGATGGTAGGATTAAAACTTCCAGTGGTTATTGGAGAAGTGTCTTTTCTAACACGACAATTTTGAAAGACATGGTCTGAGGATGCTGCCTGTTACTTCATTATAGTTTAGACTGCAGTTAGGTCCAGCTTTAAGGACAGTCTCAGGATCTTACCTAGGTTTGTGAACAGGATTATTAATTCCTAAAATAGCGTAAATATTCAGTTTAAAAAAAATGTGGAAGGCTCTCTGAACTCAGTGTCATATTTCTTTCTTTCAGCTCACAACAATCAGGAGCTGTCTTTAAAGGCTGCTTACTCAACTGAGGCTTTAAAGGGCTAAATAGATCTTATTGTTCGGTTTGCCTAAATGAGTGTCAGACATAAGGAACACTTCCCATTTTCAGTGCAGAAGTGCTAAGGGCTAAAATCCGTTACAGGGCTACTCTGAAGTTCTGGAGACATAAAACATTTAAAAAGCAGCTAGTCTGTTTTTCTTTCAACTCACGGGCTCTAAAATAATTTTTACAACTACCGGAACCAATTGCAGATGTAGGTGTTCATACATGGCTTGGAATTTCAGTATCCAGCTTGGTAAGCAGTACACCAGGGAAGACAGTACGCTTGCCCACCACTTTATTATTGTCTATGCTGAAATCTAACAAATGTTACAAACAGCACTGGTAATAGAGAGTCTTTGAGGAAGATTCTGCCCCAGGAAGTTATCACTGAATATTTCATGGCAACATAGCTGTCTTTTACTTTAGCAAGGTCTACCAAGGCATAAACTTCTCAGAAGTTCAGTGAATAGATACTGGTGCAAACATAGCTTTGTGGGCCCATCAAAGGGTTCTCTTTAGGATGTTGTGTGTTAATAACAACTATAATTAGAGAAACTTTTTAGAAGATTATTTTGCTACTTTGGGGGTGGGTGGGAGGGGAGGCGGTTCTGTGAGAGTGCTCTCCTTGGCTTAGAAAGCTGAGCCTAAACTTTGACCTGACTTAACACGTGTTGAGATTTCCAGGCCTGGTCATCTGAAATGTAAGAGTTAATGTATTTGTGTACATGATTCTTGCTGCTTTTAAAGATTTTCCAAAAGCTTATGCACAACTTTACTCAAACTTAACTTGGCTCACGTGTACTTGCCAGGATGAAGCAAGTGCCAAGGCACTGCAAGAGAAATGTTGCCAA